TACTTTTGGTGCAGAATTCTACCAGATATTTAAAAAAAAGACACAATACCAATGCTTTTCAAACTATCCCACAAAAAAAGAAACTGAAGAAACATTGTCAAATTTATGCTATGAAGCCACAGTCACCCAGATACCTAAACCACACAAAGACTCAACAAAGAAAGAGAATTTCAGACAAATTTTCCTCACGAACATTGATGCAAAAATACTCAAGAAAATACTCACAAACCAAATCCAAGAACACATCAAATAAATCATCCCCCATGAACAAGTTGGCCTCATCCCAGCCATGCAGGGATGGTTCAACATGTGAAAATCCATCAACTTAATCCATCATATAAACAAACCCAAAGGGAAAAAAAATATATGATCATCTCATTAGATGCAGAAAAAGCCTTTGACGAAATCCAACATCCCTTCCTGATGAAAGTCTTGGAGAGATCAAATATACAAGGCCCATATCTAAGCATATTAAAAGCTATATATATCAAGCCGATTGCCAACATCCAATTAAATGGAGAGAAACTCAAAGCAATTTCACTAAAATCAAAGAAAAGATGTGGCTGCCCACTCTCTCAATACAGCACTTGAAGTTCTTGCTATAGCAGTAAGACAACTAAAGGAGATCATACAAATCGGGAAGGAAGAAGTCAAAGTACTGCTATTTGCAGATGATACGATAGTATACATAAACAAACCAAAAATTCCAACAGAGAACTCTACAACTGATAAACAACTTCAGCAAGTAACTGGATACAAAATTAATTAAAAAGAATCAGTAGCCTCCTGTACACATATAACAAACAGGAAGCGATAGAAATTAGGGAAACTACACTCTTCACAATAGCCACAAATAATATAAAGTATCTTGGTGTAACTCTAACCAATCAAGTGAAAAGCCTTTATGAAAAGAACTTCAGGACTCTGAAAAAGGAAATTGAAGGAGATATCAGAAAATGGAAAGATGTCTTATGCTCATGGATTGGTAGGATTAATATAATAACAATGGCCTTCTTACCAAAAGCAATCTACTGATTTACTGCAGTCCCCATTAAAATACCAACACTGTTCTTTACAGACCTTGAAGGAACAATTCTAAACTTGACAAACAAACAAACAAACAAACAAACAGAATTACTAAAATAGTCCTATACAATAAAGAACTTCTAGCTAGAGTTATCTCCATCCCTGACTCCAAGCAATATTACAGATTAATAACAATAAAAACTGCATGGTATTGTCATGAAAATAGACTAGTTGATCAATGGAATTGAATTTATGGTCACTTGATTTTTGACAAAGGAGCCAAAACCATACAACGGGGGGTGGGGGGGAAGACAGCATCTTAAACAAATAGTGCTAGTCTAACTGGATGTCTACATGTAGAAAATGAAAATAGATCCATATATCTCTTCCTGCCCCAAACTCAATTCCAAGTGGGTCATAGACCTCAATATAACACAGATAATAAATATGTGTAAAGAAAATACATTGAGGGACACTATAGAAGAGAAATAAAATATTGCTTATATCTGTGCTTGTTCAGTAAGACTTAATGTGGTGTTACCAGTTAACAAATGATAAATTTGATAGAATGAATTATCTAGAACAGTAGCCTCACAGTGTTAAACAATATAAAATATTTTTTTATTATTACTTCTTTCTTGTTCATACTTCAATACACAGGTTCTCATATAAGTTAAAGTTCTCCATTTTTGGTACAAACATGATACCATGTCTTCATGAGAAAGAGCTTTAGTACTATAGCTGGCTGATTAATAACTTTCAGGCACTCTACATACCTACTTATAGAATCTATCAGGAACAGAGAAGATTCCTTAAAAACTTTCTTGAAATCTTGACATTTCCATGCAACCACTTGCACACATGAAATAATATATATAGACAGTAATATCACTCCTGTGTAGGGTAAATATCAGAAAACAACAAAAATACAATAGTAAAGAGACAAATTATTATCATTTCTTTTATATTAAAGGAATTATAATATTATTAGAAATGAAGAATGAATAATTAAAGTTTTAAATATTACTTCATTGCTAAAGTCAAATTTGTAAGAAAAGCTAATCATTAATTTATTTTGAACAAGTTTTACTGCTTGCTTACTATGTGTTCAATAGCCTAGAAATTATGTTATGTCCTAAGGCTATAAAAACTACCTTACCCAAGATAGCCATATTAAGTTACTATAAAATACTACGAAGTATTACAGAACATTAACAAGGCAAGATGACATTTAAATATGAATAAATTCATGAAAGGATAGTGTTGGAAATAAACGGAGATGACAGAGTGGTTAGTTAGAAATAAATGTAGAAAATATTCTAGTAAGTACAAACTGTAAATCTCCTGGTGTAGCCTTCAGGGAGGGGGATCAGCTGTACCTCTACAGGATACCAAGTGATATTAAATAATGTTATCATAGGCATAACACTTGGGGGAAAGGTATTGATTTTGAGAATGATGGACATCACTCAAATATGAATTTGGGGTACAGTGTTAAACAATGTGAAATAACTGTTTCTAGTTACTTTTACTACTTCGATATACAAAGTAGGCCATAGCCTACAGGAAGTATTGAATAAATATTGGATGCTTAGATATATGAATTGATGTACAGGTGGATGGATGGATGGATGGATGGATGGATGGATGGATGGATGAAAGGATGATCCATTCTTTTTTTTAATTTTATTTTTCTTACTAGTTACATTTTGTTAACTCTGTGTCCCAGCTGTATCCCGCTCCCTCATTCCCTCCTTAACCCCACACTCCCTCCCTGGTCTCCTCCCTGCCCCTTTCCAAGTCCACTGATAGGGGAGGACCTCCTCCCCTTTCATTTGACCCTGTTTTATCAGGTATCTTCAGGGCTGGCTGCAAAGTCCTCCTCTGTGGCCTAATAGGACTGCTCCTCTCCTCGGGGGCGGGGGTCAAAGAGCCTGCCCTTGAGATCCTGTTAGAAATAGTCCTTGTTCCCCTTACTTTGGGAAACTACTTGGTTACTGAGCTACCACGGGCCACATCCGAGCAGACGTTCTAGGTTATATCCATAGATGGTCCTTGGTTGAGTGTCAGTCTCAGAAAAGACCCTGTGCCTGGATATATTTGGTCCTTGTAGAGCTCCTATCCTTTCCATATCATACTAATTCCCCTTCTTTCATATGATTCCCTGCATTCTGCCGAGGGTTTGGTTATGAGTCTTAGTGTCTGCTTTGAAACACTGCTAGGTAGAGTTTTCAGATGCCTTCTGCCGTAGACTCCTGTCATACGGTCAATGCACATCCCATTTGTCTTTCTAAATGAGGATTGATCATCTTCGCCCATGCCCGCTTTCTTGATTATCTTCTTTCTTGAAGAGATGATACATTTGGTAAGACTGAGCAAACAATTTTCACAAGATAATTTTCATCTTTAGCTAGAAATCAGAGCTGTGGGATTTTATATAAGGTGTTATATGTTGTATTTTGTACAGTTAACGGTTAACCAGGTTATTCATCAGTGTCAAGCTTTGCCACCCATATACTCAAATAGTTAATCTTACATCCAGTGTCTAACTCCAAACACAGAAATGCACACCAAACAAAACTAAGAGCCTATTACTTAAAATGACAATTATAATGTCTATTCATAACAAGCACAATTTTGAAAGGTTCTCACATTTTGTATGGTTTAAAATTTAAAACTTAAACTCCATAATGGTTGCAATTTTTGGTAGTAGAAACCTCTCCAAATTTTGCAAATTTGAAAAATATGTAAATTTCACAAAGACTAGGAGAAGGACATAAGGAAAAGCTTATGTCAGAAGAAAACAAATGAACAGAATGAAATCGTCTTCTATCAGATAAATGATCAATGTATATAGTCAGATCCAGCAATGATTCAGTGTATACTTCTTGAAAATATTCTAACTTCTTTGGGTGTCGGTGAGATTTTTATACCACATTTGAGGTTTGTTTACATCCCTTTCTGTTGCTGTGCCAAACATCATGACCAAAATAAGGTAAGAGAGAAAGGGCTTATTTTAAGTTACAAGGCTTGTCTCACTAGCCTTCATTGAAGGGAGTCAAGGGAGAAAACTTGGAGGAGGATTGCTTGTTGGCTCACTTTCTGGATCACTCTATGTTGCATATACAGCTCAGGACCTGCCAGGGAATGACACCACCCAAAGGGGACTGGGTCCTCCTTATTTATTAAGACAATCTAGACAATCCCACACAGACATGTCCATAGACAAACCTGTTAAAAACAATTGCTTATTAATTGAAAATCATTCTTTAGGTGATTCTAAGATATGTCAACTTGACAGTATCAATTAGGACATGAAAACTATTGCGATAATAAAGTATAAATTGATTGTACTTCTTCCATTCGGAAGAATTCAGTCATTGTAACATTGATTGATGTGATGTGATAGTTATTTCTATAAAACAATATTTCTCATTTCATAACAGTAAAAATGGAACAGCAGGTGCAGATGAATTTTGGAAGAAATGTATAAAAGTGTTTTGTGGTTAATTAACCTGTGTGATATCTGCTTGTGTTACAGCTCTAAATAACAACTCATTAATCAGGCGCATGTTTTGTGATGGCAATCTGCTTTATTCCATGAGAAATTAACTATAAATGAGTCAAACTTTAGGATTTTAGAACTTGAACTCAAATCTAGTCAAACAGAGTATTCTAGTAATCATTATACTAACATTAAACTCAATGCAATGTGAAATTTTTAAAATACATTTTATCAACACATATAAGCAACATATTATGCAATCATAAATGTCCTTGATTGATATTTGTTTGAAGCATGGATCAAGATGCTTAAATTATAGTAGTCTGCCTTAACCAGCCTACTATATACTATATAAGTTCTCATTTTTTATCATTCAAAGTTTATGTGTCATATTATTTTGTTCCTACTTGCAGTTTTTATTTTCTATATTTCAAGTATACATTTTCAAACATATTTATTTCCCTTCTAGGAATTTGCTGCACTGACTAAAGAACTGAATGCTTGTCGGGAACAACTTCTAGAAAAGGAAGAAGAGATCTCAGAGCTGAAAGCTGAAAGAAACAACACAAGAGTCAGTATTAAGCTATTTCTTGGAATTTATGTAGTCTACTGTCATGTATCAGTACATCTAAACTCTTGCAGAAACTGAGTTCTTTGAGCAGATTCCAATTCACAGTCAGTTACTTTGAAAAGAGGGAAACATGGTATAATACCCAAAATAAAAAGAGAAGAAACCAAAATTATAGTCTTTGCTAAATCACTATGTTGCCCTGCAAAATGTCCCTATTTTTCCTGTTCTTTACTTCACTGTCCTTTAAAAAGGACAGTGATGGGCTCGAGAGATGGGCTCCAGTATTGCAGTGGCCTGCTTTTGATCTTTCTAGCAAAAAGAACTTAAGAAATAAAGGAAAAGAGTTCAAGCTTGAAAACTATTGGAACAACCTTTACAAATTAAAAGAGGTTTAGCACATTTATTTCATTAAATGGGCAGAGGCTGATTATTCTAACAGGCATTCTTTTGTATAATAAAACATGTACTTTATACATTCAGCTCTTGGGAATTCCTGTACGCTGTCAGTCAGATGATATGCCATGTACGAATAAAGTTCAGAATTAGATCAAAGATAATATATTTTATAGACCAGAATAAAATGTTATTAAATTTCCTAGAATATATAACTAATCATATTGTTCATAAATTAATACAATCTTATTGTTAAACGAAAGGAGAGACCTCTTTCATGTGGTCATAAACGCAATTTTGCTATTAAGAAAGATGAAATTGTATTGTCTCATAGTCTTCCTGGGTTGCTCCTCTGCGTATTTAGTGTGACTAATAGGGAATATATTTTGTGCTTGGCTTTACAGTGTCATACAAATGCACCTCCACTGACAGTGCTCATGGCTCAGTGACAGCTGGACTTGCATGCATGAGGGATGTACCATCAAACTCATTCCTGTCGTTATTCATCAGTATAGGATTGTACTGTGAAAGGAATTCTGACACTTGCAACGTGCATGTGAATTGGTTTTCATCAAGGCTTTCATGAGCCAGCCATACAGATTGCCTCTAATAGGGTATCACAAGGGCAGTTTAGATCACATGATGTAATTTTTGGTTTCTCTCCCTGTTTATAGTTTTTTTTTCCTCTCTCTCTCTTGATTTTTAAACTAGCGTGGCATTTCCATACAAATTTACCTATTTCTGCAGTACTATTTATTCAGCCCTGTCCTGTTCTTTTGAATTTTATATTTTAATCTACATTCCCTGATATAACAGAGCACAGACTAATGAGAAAATAGAAGAAGAGTGAAAATTAAGAAAATACGCAGCTTTGGTTTTATTTTCCAGGAAACCTCACATGAAAAAAAAATGCATCAATTTGTTAGCTACATCTTTACTTTTTAAATCTGTCTTTTCATTCTATAGTCACTTATTCCTTTGTACATTCACATGAAGAAGATACTATTTTTTATCCCCACTTTACAGACAAAGCAAAGTCAAATGTATCAAAGGTGGCACAGAGTAAAATATCAGAGATTACAAAGGTAACACAATGTTTGCATAGCTTGTGCCATTGGCACAGATCCATGAGGCCACTGGGAGAGATATCCACAGTAAACCCACTCAGGATCTCAACGATTCATTGTGGCTTAGATGAAACCTGCTGTGTGGCATATGTCATTTTTTTAAAGCTGTCAATGATTTATGGCTGAGATTTGTTTCAGTAGCCAGGTGATTTACATCACATTAAACCCCTAAGTCTAACTAGAATATTTGGCTACTTACTTCCAAAGTATCACAAGAATATGGTGAGCTAGCCTGAAATATCTACAAAGACCAGAGAAAGAAATATAGACTTTCTTTAGGAAGAAAAATAACCTTTTAATTAAAAGCAAGATTAGTAGCTACTAACTAATATTAGTAAATGTGAACAAATTTTTCTATCTTCCTTAAAAAAGTAATATGAAGATTCTCTGTTTTCGTTTAGATCGAATCAGATTCCTGAATTCTATGGAATGTAACATATTGATAATATAATGACTGCATAGGTTACATGACTGCCTCTGATTTTCATGATTTTATCAAAAACAAAAATAAAACTGCAGCTCTAAGATTCAATCATATCTTCCTCTAAAATGCCATATCAAATATGCAGTGATATAGCTATATAAGACCATCTTTCACATAGGATTATACAGTAGTATCTTTGTTACATGTTGTGTTATGCTTTTTCTTTTTTTTTTTTTTTTTGCCGTGAACACAAAATGCTGTTGACTATACTTTATTCAATTAAATTGTATTATTTAATGAATAATTTCATAACTTTAGAATGTGTAGATAGCATCAGTAACCAGTCTAAGGAACTGAAACTTATGCTTTTATCACTTTATACTAAGTTAATTTTTTTTTTTTGCTGATTTTCTTTCTTTTTTTTTATTTTATTTTTCTTTTTAGTTACATTTTGTTAACTCTGTGTCCCAGCTGTATCCCGCTCCCTCATTCCCTCCCCAACCCCACACTCCCTCCCTGGTCTCCTCCCTGCCCCTTTCCAAGTCCCCTGATAGGGGAGGACCTCCTCCCCTTTCATCTGACCCTGTTTTATCAGGTATCTTCAGGGCTGGCTGCAAAGTCCTCCTCTGTGGCCTAACAGACTGCTCCTCCCCTGGGGGGGGGGGGTCAAACAGCCTGCCCTTGAGATCCTGTTAGAAATAGTCCGTGTTGCCCTTACTTTGGAAAACTACTTGGTTACTGAGCTACCACAGGCCACATCCGAGCAGAAGTTCTAGGTTATATCCATAGATGGTCCTTGGTTGAGAGTCAGTCTCAGAAAAGACCCTGTGCCCAGATATATTTGGTCCTTGTAGAGCTCCTATCCTTTCCATATCATACTAACTTCCCTTCTTTCATATGATTCCCTGCACTCTGCCGAGGGTTTGGTTATGAGTCTTAGTGTCTGCTTTGAAACACTGCTAGGTAGAGTCTTTCAGATGCCTTTTGTGGTAGACTCCTGTCATAAGATGTCCATTGAACTTATGCTTTTTCTATAAACACCTAGGCATTGTTACTGGAAAGAGAGCAGTAAGACAACATACAAACCTCCTTCTCACAACTACAGAGTACCTGGTTGTATAGAGTTGAGGTTTGCTGGTTTTTAGGATTCTGGTAAACCTTTGAATCTTTCCACATTAATGGGTTAGCATCTACATATGAATTGAAGTAAATAACAAAAAGACAATAATACACAAAGTAAACTTTTAGGTATGATGGATCTTGTGAACTTGTACTATCATCACAAACAACAAATCAGAAAGTAGTATCACAATTTCTGTGACAGATGAATGGAGTTTAAAATACAAATTTATAATAAGGCAAATACAATATTTAACACTGATTAAGGGCTGATGGTTCTCCCAAAGGTTTACATGTTTACCCCAGCACAGTGTCACCACAATTTTACCATCTCTAAATACCATGTAATTACTGAGCAAAGTAATATAGATGTGGTCTGCTTTTAGTAACCACAGGTTCTATATTTCAGGAATTACGTTTGTATGTGACTTCAATTAACACTTGATGACACAGTCTTTTCAAATTTTATAATTCATTTCTAATGAATTTTATTAGCTGTGCAGGAAATAGTGCATTTATTCAGTCAGAGATGAAAATTTCGATCATGAATAATCTTTGTCACTGAAGACATGCCCACTCCACAGCTGAGAATTGAGTGAAGGAAGAATTCAAAGTTCAACTTGTTCTTAAAGCCATCTGCTCTTCAAGTAATTAAATGGAGTTATTCAAGTAAAGCAATAGTATGCATGGTTATATAATATACAAATATCAAGACTTATAATGAACATTTATAGAAATATACAAACAAGCTTTATTATTTAATATTTCTATGCAAGTAAGAATATAGAAAATATTATGTAACAACATTTTTATTCAGAAAATCCCTAATATATAGGCAATTTGAAAGTATATAGTGTGTAACACTGTTACTAGAGAAACCTGAACAAATAGCTATTCACTCTAGATTTGACAATAAATCAAATTAAGGGTAACAGCAAAGTACAACTTAGAGAACTAATGAGATTTTTGAGCTTATTACAGGAATAGGAAAGGAATTACTGGAGCAGGAATAACTCAAAGTCAACTGCATCACTGAAAGCTCACCCCAGTATGGGTGACAGTTCACAAATGCTGGAAACCTGAAACACATTACACAATTTAGAGACAGATCAACAGACTGGAAAGTGTCCTTCCTAGGCGGCTCACTTGATCTTACTCTCTCAGGCAAGTCAGCTGGTGTCAGTTTCCTGTGGGTATTTGTGATAGTATCTACTACTTTGAGAGTTTCTTCTAGGTAACCCACATACTAAAAGTCTTCTAGACAGCTCAGGTTGTCTGAAAGTGTCTATTATATACTCAGAGGTGGGGTGATGGCCAAATGAACGTGGTAAGTTTCAGCAACTTCCTGAAGCCTTTGAGTTTGACCTTTCGTGAAGGATGGAATGTTTCACCTCCCTTTAGAGCATTCCGTGTCATAAGTAGCCTACTTGGCTTCATTTGATGACAGACTGTAATCTTTATGTCAAATGAGCCTTTTCCTGCTCAGTTTCTTTTTGTTGTTATTGTTGTTTTCTTTTCTATTAATTATTATATATTATTACATTTTATTCACTTTGTATCCCAGCTATGACCCCTCTCCCTCGTCTCCTCCCAATCCCACTGTTCCTCCTTTTTCTCACTCTATGCCCCTCCCCTAGTCCACTTATATGGGAAGACGTCCTTCCTTTCTATCTGACCCTAGTCTATCAGGTCTCATTAGGACTGGCTGCATTGTCTTTCTCAGTGGCCTGGCAAGGCTGCACCCCCTCAGGGGAAGGTGATCAGAGATCCTGCCACTGAGTTCATGCCAGAGACAGCCCCTGGTCCCCTTACTAAGAACGCACATAGAGGCTGAGTCCATGGGCTACCTCTGAGCAGGGGTTTTAGGAACTCTCCATGCATGGTCCTTGGTTGGGGTATCAGTCTCTGCAGGGGCCCCTGGGTTCAGTTTTTTTTTT